AAAACAACTGGAGAATGTGAAATGTTTTAAATATTTGGGTAGCCTGTTAACAGATGATGGAAGGTGTTCGTGTGAAATTAAATCTAGGATTGCCATGGCAAAAGCTGCATTTAGCAAGAAAAATAATCTTTTTACCAGCAAATTGGACTTAAATTTGAGAAAGAAACTAGTGAAATGCTACATTTGGAGCATTGCTTTGTATGGGGCTGAAACTTGGACACTTGGGGTAGTAGATCAGAAACACCTGGAAAGCTCCGAAATGTGGTGTTGGAGAAGGATGGAGAAGATCAGTTGGACCGATTATGTGAGAAATGAAGAAGTGTTATTTGGAGTCAGTGAAGCGGCCTCCATAGTCTAGGGGTAACATTCCCACCTCATGATTCAAGGTATGCAGGTTCAAACCCGGCAGAGGTCGTGAATTTTTAAAAGCGGAAAAATTCAGGGAACAAGTCCTCCGGGAGGGACTTTAAGCCATGGGTCCCGTGTCGTAGATTTACGGCACGTAAAAGATCCTCATGTCTCTAGGAGACCTCTGAGCAAAATTAGGCAAAAAGTTTCCTGCCCCAGTATTCTCTAATACCTCAGGTAGATGGGGAAGTATCGGGTACCACTGCCAGCCTGGCTAGTNCTAATTGGATTGGTCATATTGGTCATGAAGATTAGTGATTTATAAATTTTTCGTTCAATTTGTGTATAATTTCCATTGTTAAATTTAAATTATAAAAATGTACATTATGTTAAAAATATAATTCAATTAACATATAACTTAAGATTTGAAATTCTTGATTATTTTTGTGGCATAATGGTGTATGCCGTAGAGTATGGGGCCTTCTTGAGAGCAGGCATTATTATTTCTAATTTCTTAGTAATATTAAAAGGAAATTATTTGTATGTTATTCCAATTAATATTCAAATTACCATTAAAATTTAGAAATTAGAATTTAAATCAAAGTTCTTCTGTTTACTATTGTTATTGCATAAAATAGTGTATGTTGTACAGCATGGGGCTTTCCTGAGAGTCGGCGTTATTCTTTTTAATTTGTTAGTGTATAGTAGTGTGTGGCAGTCTTCTACATTATATATTCTGTTACTTCTACATAATGGTCTGAGCGACTATGATGGAACTATTTCATGTGTTATGTTGTATCTTATATGGGAGTGCACGGTCTTCCTGTTGTCGTCCCCTCTGTGTGATGACCCAACAGGGTCAAAACATGTAGCAATACTTCCACACAATAAACAGATGCTAATATAGTAGTTGTTGGGAATTGTGGACTCAGTGCGACGCGATAACGAATTGCCAGTAATGTTGCCCCACGGTGATGCAACAGCAGATGTGATGTAACAGCGAATGCTGCTGCCACTGCTAGGGTAACAGGCCAGTAAACATGTCCCCGCTGTGATACAACAGCGGGGGAGCTGCTAGGCAACAGTATAAGAAGCCAGCTGAGGACCGAGAGTGGCAGTGCGTTTCGACAGAAGACAGCGCGGAGAGCAGAGCAGTTCTACAGTATAGCGAGAGTTGTTAACAAGAAAGGGGCGGCTGTGAAATGACTTGTTCAAGATTTTGTGTTATAGTTACACTGAACTGTAGTTACGGTGTTGAGTAATAAAGTGACGTCATAAGAATACTCTCAAGGTCTTCTTTCACAACAATAGTAATGATTTGTTTATTATAGAACTGTTGTGCTGACTGATACATTATGAATACCAGATCTGAGGTTCACATGGTAGTTACTATGATGATTGCTGCCTTTTGGGATGTGATGCCATGACGGATGGTAGACTCTGAAAACTGATGCAACACCTTCCGCCATATCATACTATCAGACACTTTCACTTGCCTCTACATGTCCCCTACAGCCTACATTTTTTTCTAAACCATACAACGCCACAATATCATTCACAGAGAGAATAACAGCCACTTCACGTAATTGTTACAGGACAAGGCCTACAGCACGAGGGCATACACGCACGCTCATGGATGTGAATGCATCATCAGTGCTCGGAATCATATTTAAATGTCCAAAACAGTGAAACTTATATGGGCAACGTAATTGTATGGTGTTGCATCACATTGTGCAGATCAACAGAGATGTACCACTTTTTCCATCACACAGCAAATGCCCCAGTGTTTACAAAGCTGTTTGGCATACTCTTCCCACCTTTAGATCCTATTTAATTATACGGACACATTCATAAGCTTCATATTAAGAGATAAACACTGTATGTATATATACATAATTTAGCTTAATGTATCTACTGGCATGTTATTTGAATATTAAGCTTTGAAATTGTTCTTATACATAAAATGATTATAAATTAAGAAACAATTAATTATTAATCAATTAGTACACAATGTTAGCTGATGTGCAAATGAAGTGACACAGAGCACTGTAGGTGTTATTGCTGACTGAACTGTTCACAATATCAGGGGCACATTTGTTTACTCATCTTGGATTCACTACTAAAAGTGTTTTGCTAATATGCACGTTGGTTGTCTTGTGTACAACTGGTGCTGGCTGGATTCTTAAGTGCGTTGATTGACGTGGCAAGTCATATGGTGGAACTGGGGTGCAGATTATCTACTCATGATCCTCTTGACTTGAAACTCTATGCACTATTTCCTAGTCTTTTTACAAGCTAGTACTTCTGCTTGTGTAAGTATGCAGATGTCATGTGTTGCTTGGAACTGGGAAGCAGACTGGTTGTGTGCTGTAAGGAACAGGGAAGAAAACTAGTAACTGGTGGAGGGGAGAGGAATCCCCGAGGACTAGGGAAGAGAGTAATGTATGATTAATGTTTATCCCAAGTTTGCATCTCTCACATATTGATCAAGGTGTTGCCTGGCAACTGCTCTGTAAACATGGTCCAACACACAACAGTTTGTAGTGATCACGTGATATGTGTTTCCTGTGATGCATGTCCATTCCACGGCTATATAAGTAAGAGTCCAGGAGAGTTCAGAGCAGTTATGAGTAGTAGTAGCTGCAGAAGAACAGAAACAAGAAGATTGCAGAAGAGTACAAGAAGTCAGCCTGTGAAGATTTAATGTGCGATTTTATGTGTGCTGTAGCATAATGATATTGGGAGTGTGTGATTAGTGATGCTTTTATAGTTCCAGTGTTATAAATCCGTGAAAACTAGTGGAGATAGACTGGAGTAGCATGGAGTGCTTTGTAATGTGAAAGTCAGTAACAGTGTTATAATTATTTGTCGTTATGACCTGTAAGGAACCAATAAATCCGAACCCCTTCTATAGTCACTGATACAAGTGACAAGATGTGTTAGGTATGGATAGGATCAGAGTGACTGATTATTGGAACAAAGATCTATTTTACAGTGCCATCTGACAAAAATGGACGCTACCCAAGACAGGATGGATGCCAATACTAAAGCAATGAAGGAAAGGTTGAACGAAATGAAAGATGAAACCAAAGCGAACATGAACGCCAACAGAAAAGCCAACCAAGAAAATCTATAGGAAATGATAAAAGAAATGAACAAAATGAAAGAAAAATCGAAAAGGACATGAACACCAACAGAAAAGCTGACCCAGAAGATCTAAAGGAAAGGATGGAAGAAATGGTGAATGCCAACCAAGCCAAGATGAACATAAATCTATAGGAAATGGGAGAAAAAGATAAGTCTGGCCAAGCAGAAATGAAATCAACAGTTAGTGCCATCCTGTCTGAGTTAGAAGATGTTGACCACAAGATGCAGACTCTCCATAAGTAATTGACCAACAAACCTGAAATTTCAAGCAGAAACCTCAGAAGGAACAATAATACACCTTTAGGCTACTCAGGACAAGAGGCCTTAAGGAGTGAGCAATGCCAGACATGGCAGTCTTTATTTCTTCTTTATATCTGGTATTAAATTAACACTTGATCTCGCCTATGTATTTCATGTGGTACATTGTAAATTGTATCACTGTTTTGATAAAGGCTGTATTTAGCAGTTAGGTTTTGTTTATTAAACATATGTCTGTTAACTGAGTTACTACTTCAAAGAATATCGAAATGCTCTGTCATGTCATGGCTCTGATTTGATTACGTAAAAATGTAAACATGGCTCACTTATTATTGTTATTATATAGGGTCTCTGGGGATTTCAGGTTATTAGAAGCGGTAGTTCATCTGCTGTGTGCTGATTATTAATCAGTCTTGGTCTACTTGTATTAATAAGCTGGATATGTATCAAAGGTGTGAGTTAGATAAAAAATGTCCGTCTTCTTGAACAAAATGCCACACAGTCTGTTGGAAGTCAACTGATGTTTTGGACAAACACGTCGCCTCTGACTTTTGGGTCAAAGAGTCAGTAAAACAAGAAACCAGGATGAAGCAGACAGCAAGCAGGACAACTTTCAACATAGTATACAGAGTTTCTGTACATACATGCATATATATCTTCACAGCCATTGCTGCGACAGCCTCAAATCCTATGTATGTGTTTGACAGTTTAACCCTTTGATTGCCAAGTCCCATCATAAAACTATAAGCTAGAAATGCCAAGGCTCTTTACAAGTAAATGCAGTTTTCCAGAAAAACCCACAATGCTTTCTTAAGACTGCCTTCAAATAACCACAGGTGTAGATGGAAAGAAATCTTGTTCTTCTGCTATAAATATATTCATTTAATGTCAACTATTAGAGAAATACTGTACTATGCAGCTAACAGCAACTTCATTCCCCTCCATTGCAGCAGTTATGGGCTTACTTAATGCAAATTTTTGCTGTTCTTCTGGATGATAAGATTTCTTATGATATTATCTGCAGTGGCATAGAAAAAATTTATTTACACACACAGGACAACCAATACTCACTTCGGCAAACATATTTATTGGTAAATCCAAGGAGGTAAACAAGTAGAATTTTTAACAGCTGAATCAGTAGTAAAATTCTCAGTGCTTTATGTCAAGTGCCTTGTGCATCTGCTTGTATTATGTACCAATTTTATTAATAATCAATTTTAAATTTCATTTTATGAGAAGAGTTTTTAAAGTGTAATATACAATTGGTATATCAATGGATCCATGGGGATGAATTATATATATAGTGAATGTTTATCTCTTAACACAGAGTTGATGCATGTCTTCTGAAACTGTGAGCCTCAAGATGGCAATACTGTACATTCTGAAACATGCTGGCCACTCTGTAAGAATTAGGGAGGGCATATATATCATATGATGAAAAAATTAATATCTCTCTGGAAGAATCAGTTAGAAAATGTAACTCTTTGGTCTTCCATTGTCCTTACTTGTTAGGACCAAACAGCTTTCAATGAGAACATACCTTGAACTGTAACATGGAAGATAAAATATGGATTGCTTTACAGAATTTCATTATACAGACAAATTTGCAAGAATATGTCTGTTCTGTAATGCAATGTCATGCTATAACTGCCTCCGTTTAACATACCACAGTACAAAGCTGAGATTTCTTCAATTTCAATAGAGAAAAGTGATAAAACTGACTTTAACATCATTTCTATTTCTCTACCATCTGGTCTGCTAGATAGAAGAGCATAATGCATGTTTAAAACTAAAACGGCACCAAACATGTGATACTGACATAGAAGCATAAGAAAAACTCTTCTTGCATAAAGCAAAGAAGAGAAAGTTTAGTCTAATTACTTACCAATCTTAGTAGCTGAGTAGATGTTCTCAATAGGGAAAATCCCTCCTAGTCCAAAGAGCAAGACTTTTGCTAGAGCAGGAACCAGCTGTGTGGTTGTTACCAGGACATTCACACAATTTGACCTAGTGAAAACAATAAAACAAATGTGTGATTAAGCAATCCTTCCAGACACACAAAAGCTCTGAAATTATATTATTTCAGGTTACATATAGCAATGGCCTGTTGACAGCAAGTATGTTACATGAATATGCGTTATGCAGGTCAATGAATGCGTGAGTAGACTTTTGTTTCTGTCTATTGTGTCAAAGGTGTCAGAGGTTGGTAGGGTGCACTGATACCAGTAGGTGCACACCATTAAGTACCAGAACACCACCTGTTAAGTAGGACTCCACCAGCAAATCTGAACTCTCCTGCCTTGTGGTGACCCCTGAGCAAAGCATTCTGGGGTGAAAGTACAGATATGGCAGACAGAGAAAGGTGAAAGGCAAGTGTCTGGCCCCACCAAACAGGACTCTGACTATGGAATGGAAAACCCTTTAAACATGGTGAAGCCAAACCCCCAAAAGGGGTACCCCAAGAGAAAAACAATGGTCTTCCTAAGTTAAGGGATTGGGCAAAGGCTAACAACCTCTCTCTAGAAAACATTACTTGTTCAGAAACCCAATGAAGCCTGCCAGACTGTTTTCAGATGGGGGATTGTATCTCTTTTGTAAGAACTGTTATCACTTTGATATGGATGTGCAAAGTGCAACATCAGCCTTGATGTATCATCTGGTAATGTGCTACTGAAATGGAATGTGGACCGAAGTTGGCAAAGCTAATAATAAGAAAGCTTATATAATGGTGAGACTTCCTAATGAATTCTCATACATCAGTGATCACTTGCCTGTTTAAAGTCTTTCAGCTGCATTCAAAAATAGGTACAATGGTATGTACACTGTTAATAGGAATGACGCAATGCATTATACTGTACTATACTTACCCCTTATGAAAGCGGCCTCCATAGTCTAGGGGTAACGTTCCTACCTCATGACTCAAGGTACATGGGTGGAGGTAGTGGAATTTTTAAGGGTGGAAAAATTCAGGGAACAAGTCCTCCGGGAGGGACTTTAAGCCGTGGGTCCCGTGTTGTAGATTTACGGCACGTAAAAGATCCTCGTGTCTCTAGGAGACCTCTGAGCAAAATCAGGCAACAATTTACCGCCCAAGTAGTTTCCGATGCCTCTGGTAGATGGGGGAAATATCAAGTACCGAGGGCCAACCTTGTTGGCTGAACGGGGCTGATAGAATNAATAACTTAACAGCCCAGTGGCCAATTACAAAGTTAGCACGAATATATAAGGTATAGAAAATAATTAAAACAAAATACAAATATGACAAATAAATCTGTGAACATAAATCTAAAGAAGACTGAACTATATACATACATTTATGAAATATTACGAATGTTGCTAATACTGTTAGTAACTAAATACTAAGATAAGACACCTGTGACACACACACACACACACACACACCAGACCAGATCTTGAGCCTAGCAATATTCTATTTCTGTGGACCAGTGCAGAAACATTTCAAGGAAAACACTTCTGACATGATGAAACAGAAGCTAAGGTGTGCAAATACGGAGCTCGTTTCTTCCACAAAGAAACTGAAAATGTGTTGCATCATAGAGATAAGCATCTCCATTGGTCTGGTGATTATATGGACTAACAGAGAGTATGACAGTTACTCCTTGTTGTGTTAAACAACAAAGTCAAAGGAATAATTACGAACACAAAACACCCTATGATAACAGATTACACATGTTTCAAATAATGCCAATACTATACAGTTTGCATGTACGTCACCACCTCATTACATTTGTTTACTTTAAAGTTCTTACCTGGAGTTGATAAGCGTCAAACACTTGATGGCAAGTGTTAGCCAGTTGTCTGTCATAGCTTCAATTTCTGAGCGCAGCTGAAGCCACTGCTCCCGTTTTGCACCTAGCAATCCTAAGACAGGCACGTCAATTATTATAAGCAATGAATATATGATTAGCCCACCTCTTCACTCTACAATATGCTACCAATTATCCATGCTAATGCACTATGGGAGTGATCAGGAAATCATGGTGGCCGTTTAATGTCTGAATTCAGCACTGAGAACACAGAGTCAAATTCATTCAATTACCCTGAACACCTATAGATGTGCAGTATATATAAAAACGTACATTTCATTTTTCTCTGCAACATTCCACTGGAAATACTTTGCACTCTTCTGTTAAATATTTAGTGTATTATGCCCAAGATATACAGAAATGCTTGCAAGTCTTCACATAATCATTAAAAGTGCCCCATCTAAATGATACCTGAAATTGCTTCCATAATATTTTGTACTCCAATACCAAATTTCTAGAAAATCTATTCAGCAGTTCTCCAGCTGCTTCATACTTACAGGTGGATAGAGGGATCAAGGGAACCTAATTAATGCACAGGTAAGCCTTAAAATGGATAACTAACATACTCAGGAGGACACTGTATAAGAAATACAATCCTTCACATATTTTGAGCCATGCTCTTCAGTCTAATTCATGAAAACATAAAGCACTGTTTTCCAGCAATCTGCAGTTTTACAAATTTAATGTTGTTCATAAAGTAGGATTTTATACTGCCGTTTTGTCATGTCATCACCCTATGCTACTACTCACCATTACATCACTGCTGCCTAAATCTCTTTCATATTCATTAAATTTGTTATACTCCATCTACTATGAGGGCACGTGGTAGCATAGTTTGTTGAGGTACTATGCTACAAGCCAGGTCACAAGATCAAATCCCGATGAGGTCACTGGATTTTTCAATGGACCTAATCCTTCCAGCCGCACTATGGCCCTGGGTTCAACTAAGCCTCTAACAGAAATGAATACCAGGAATTTTCCTGGGGGGTAAAAGGGCAGGCAGCAAGTATGGCTCGTACTTCTGATATTCAGACATCAGTGGTAAATTCATACATACGATGGAGTACCCAAAAGAAACTGAACTAATTTTTTTGTGGGCAGAGCTTTTGTAGTACCGCGTTTTGCCGCTATGAACGCATAGAGCTAACATTCCTGAGTCGATAAGCCGACTACCGTTGCTTCAGAAGGTAAGGACTAGTTTCGGCAGAGTTTATAGTGACAACTGTTTTGTGAGATCGTCGTTTTTGCAATGGCTGATTTTCATGAACAGCGTGCGGCGGTGAAATTCTGCTTTTTGCTCGGAAAAAGTGGAACAGAAACTCTTGAAATGTTAAAAATGGCGTACAAGGATGATGCTATGGGGAAAACTCAAGTGTTTGAGTGGTTTTCCCGTTTCAAAAATGGTGAAATGTCAATTGATGACAAACCTCGTTCTGGTCGTCCTTCCACGGCCCGAACACATGAAAATGTTGAAAAAATTCGTGAAATCATCAAGGAAGATCGACGACGGACCATTGAAGAAATTGTGGAGCTGTCGGGAGTGACTTGGAGCTCAGCGGCCAGATTTGTGGCAGTCGGGTGACTGGTTTTTCCATCATGACAATGCCCCTGCTCACACAGCCCTGTCTGTACGACAATTCTTGACCAAAAATGGTATGACCCCTGTTCCTCACCCTCCATACTCACCCGACCTTGCCCCGTGCGACTTTTTTTTGTTTCCTCGAATGAAAAGAGACATGAAAGGAAAGCATTTTGCTGATGTTGCTGAGGTGAAGGAAAAAACGACGGAGGCGCTGTCAAGCATCTCAAAAGATGAATTTAGACAATGTTTTGAAAAATGGAATAAAAGACTAGACAAGTGTATTAGTGTAAGTGGAGAGTACTTTGAAGGGGATTGAAGGTTTGTGCTTAAAATTTGAATAAATAAGTTTAAAAAAAAATAAGTTCGGTTCCTTTTGGGTACCCCCTCGTACTTACGCAGGACTATTCTTCCATAATGTTCCGTACATGAAGTATACATATCCCAGTTCAAAGAGCAGAAGGACTTTATATCCTGTACTATTTAGGTCAGCCATTTTTAATTTTGAAGAGTACTAGCTTCTGGGATGAGACACTATGTAGCCCAGAAGTTCATTGGCATTCAGAGGAATGCACTGTCTCCATCTTCAGGGTTGAAGAGTTAAGCTAGGCAAGCAACCACCCAGAAAAACAAGCTGTCTGAGGAAAATACAGTTTCATGTAGGCATGTAAAGGTGTCCAAAGAGAACCAATAGGAGCAAGGAAAAATGTATTTGTGCTGGTCTTGAAAAGAGTCACACTAGGAAAGTGTGTATATAAGAGAAGCCAAGAAAAAATAATACGAGTGACCAATAGTAAATATAGATGGGCCCAGCCAGTGTGGTCAGAGATGACGAAGCCGCTGCAAAATGACATGTGTGGAAAGCCAACAAAAGGAAGAAGCCACTGCAACTCAGGTGGATAAGCACTTGAGTAGGACAATGTACAGGGGCCTAATGGCTTTGTGGAGAACCCCATTATGAGAAATTCTATTAAGGACATTTCCTACATTTTCTCGGGTTGTAGATGAGATGCTTCCATGACTTGCTGAGGCAAAATCCATCCTCAGTAACCATGCTTCTAGGATGGAACCCACTCTCTATTGCCTCACTGATAACACGGTCCATGTACCTGGATTCCGTGACAAAATTCACAGTCACTGCTGTGAGAACCTCAAACCAAACACTTTAAATCTTATTTGTTTCTCATGTCATTTACTTTGCAAGCTATTTTATCATCATACGTCCACCAGTACACAGGATAACAGAACATAAGGTCAAATGGGTAGCACTTATGCTACATGTTCATCTCAGCCCAGAGACCATCATGACTGAGATTTTCTGACATTTCCACAGTCTCTCCAGACAAGTGAAAGAATGGTGCCCCAAATTAGATCAATTTGTTATTCAGTAACAATCCTATCATTTGACTGTTTATAGTCTGGGCTACTAAGTACGTCATATATAAATCAATAATTAAAAATAATACAGGATACATTCAAATTGAAGTTACACCATCATCAGATGCCTATGATGACTGGAACCCTCTGAAGCATGAAATTTTTCTAGATAATATTTACAAATTTCTCATTATCCCATAGAACACACAATGCATATCCATACGAAGTCCAAATCAGTTATGCTGTTTGGAGACATAATTGAAGTTTACTATGAGAATCACAGGAATACAATGTCTGGGCAAAATTTAGAGCTGAATGCATGTGGTACATACAGTAACCAATGTATCTGGGTCCTGCCACAGCTGAGGCAGTCACCAGTTTCCCATTGCAGTGGCCTGAGTTTGATCCAAAGTCAGGTCATGTGGATATGTGGTGGACAAAGTGGCACTGGGGCACATTTTCTCCAAGTACTTCAGTTTCCCCCACCAAATCTCATTCCACCAACTGCTCCATACTCATTTATCATCCAGGGCTGGTACAATTAAGATAATTAGGCTGACATACCAAGTGGACCCAGTCTCACCCCACCCCATGAAACTTAAAAAAATGTGTTTTAAGAGTCAAGCTGCGATGTCCAATATTTAATCCGCAACCCATGCAGCATATCTATCTCTGTGTTGATGTTTGCACAATGTAAACACAACATCGCAGAAAACAACAGTCATGTTCATACTCAAATATTTTATTTGTTCCTAAATGTTAGTTATAAGAAATGATATAATCGAAAAGCAAAAAGAATAATGTGAACNCTGCAGTCTAGCGAGGTCGCGAGAATCGTTGAGAATATTGCTGGACCAGCAGTTTCAAAGGTGTAATTTTTAAGAAGGGTATTGGAGGGTTTAAACTTGTAATACCGCCTTCTTTTTGAATGATCGAATCAGAAGCAATGATGGAATATATCTGCGAGAGTGGGAGAATTAATGTCCCAAAACTCAACGATATAGTCCGAGCTTCTAAAGGAGTTCTCATTCGGTCATTCCTACGGATAGGCGTGTTTCAACATATGATAATATTAAACAGTGAGTAAATGTAATGTGTGTCATTCCTACGGACAGATGCGTTTCAACATATGATAATATATTAAACAGCGAGTAAATGTAATGTGTTTTGGTGTAACATTATTACCCTTTGCCTCCTCATGATCCAAGGCCCGTATAATGACCCCGAGAAAGAATTTCATTGCCTACCAGAACCCCACCCAACAACAGAAACCGAAGGGAGAGCGAGCGGTAACAACAGTCATTTTCTTCATAGCACTAATAACTTTCTATAAGACTACATAGTGCGCTATATCACAAAAGAGAGTAACCTTCACATTCATAGCTGTCAGAATCTTACACGTTCATGCATACATCCACTCTTAAAATTATATCATGATGTGGCATGAAATCAGATATGATCAGTGTTTTTCTTTTAATTGATATATCCTGGTATGGAAACCAGCTTATGATTTAGGCAAGCTGGCAACACTGTCAAGTGCCATTCCTGCCAGTGCAAGTATCTGTTTAGCCCTGACGCTAAAACACAGACTGAGAGTACAAATATTTTATCAGAAAGTGCTGTGTAGGATCCTATTCTTGTGTTCAAGGACATGCACACAATCAAGAACCATGCATAATACATAAAACATTATTAGATTGTAGCATCCTGCTGAACATCACTAGTATCAAATGTTGCTGATACCACAGTCTCATTCATAAAAAAAAAGACACAACATAACACAACAGGAATAACTGCCACTTCGAATACACATGTGTACAGAGGGGCCCATATATTAATAACTGAAGCCACAATACAGAACCACAGTAGTTTCCTCATCCATCATTTTAAACACCTGATGATGACCATTTTGGTCGAAACATATACTGATGTGTAAAGCTTTTAAAATGAATAACTTTTAGTATGTTTTATAGAAAGATGCATTGCACATTGAGACTGTGGAACCAGCAACATTTGATGCAGATAATACAGTATGTTCTTGATTATCTACGGATGATTTTATTGGTGTAAAAGTTGAGACTTGCAGAGCAGAAGATCTGTATTGCATTATACTGGGTTATGGAGGGACCTGCCATGTAGTCTTATATGTAGGCACCAATGTTTCCCTCCAAAACACTGGTGCCCAACCAATGCAGCATATAGGGTGTATTTTATTTCATTAAATTAACAAGGCTGTCAGTCACTCCAACTATATAGCATCAAATGATGGGATCATCAGTGAATAATAAATTGGAAAAGATATGGCAGGAAGTGATTGTGGCCTAATTTGATGTACTATTCTAACTACATAGTATCATAATCTAGAACACCATTATATACTATATTTGGTTTCTACATCACGTGTTTTAAATGCCTCCGCCTGCCTAGTATGTACTGTCTTTCACATTCAATAACCTGCTAAGTGATGCCTCAAGTTCAGGGATCGCTAAAATCATGATCATGACATTGGTGTTAAGCTGTTCATGTCGCAGCATGTATCTAGTTTATTTTTCATTCCTCTCCTTGACATTATTCCACATAAATATGTAATTAAGCACAACACCATGAAGACATATTTGGGAGTGGAAGCATAGCTCCACACATTCTTAAACTTAAAACTGGTTGCAGGGAAGTGGTAAGTTTCACACCCCAGACACTTTACCCCAAGGATCTAGCTCCTGGATAGCGCAGTCCATATAGCAACTGGCTACGGGCTGGATGACCAAGGGCTCAGACTTCGAGTCCTGATAGGGTCAAGAATTTTCATTTCTCTATGTCATCCAGAAGGGCTCTGGTGCCCATCCAGCCAGTGCATACCAGGGGCTAAACCACCCAGGATATGAAGCCAACTACTCACCTTCAACTACTACCAAGGTCAAGAAAAGGTGGGTCTGCANCCCCCCCCCCCCCCCCCCCATCTTCATGGCATAGTGCTTATTAGTTAAGCACAGAGACAACTTTATGTTACCCATCTGATAGGATGCATTCTCCAGAGAGCCCATATGGATCCTCTAGAGGTAAGCCTCTGTTCCCACCAGGAACTGAACCCAATTCCCCAATCAGCCAATCAGCCAATCTATAGGTGGCCCAACCTAGATATAATGTAGCTATTCTGTTAAATAAAACTTCAAAGTTACAGCCTTTAACAGAATTCTCTTTTCAGATCCAAAGTTATGTTAAAGATAAAACGGTAGAACAATCTGATTATTTAAAGCAACTGCCTACATTTCAAAAGAACACGCCCTCTCCGTCTTCAGACCTTTTCCACCTGAGGATGGAGGCAGCAGGGTCCTACAAAACTTTGGTGTGCCTATGTACTAGACAATACGGCATCACTTCCTAGACAACTATAATCTTTGTAAGTTTTGAGGTTTTCACGGCGATGACGATGAAGAAAGTCGTCTTCTGGGTTTAGGCGCCTTGTATTCTTCATTTTGGCCGACGTTTCGGAGGAACGTATCGCCTCCATCTTCAGAGCAGGTGAATGACTTGGAATGCAGAGAGCAGTAGCTGTAGTGATGGGAAGTGAAAGGAGCTGCTTATATACGAAGTAGGCAGGGGGCGTGGTTAGGAAGAGCGGACCAATAGGAGCAGTGGAGAGCGATTAAGGCCATATATGGTGTTGGTGCTGGGGGGGGGGGACGGCCAGTGAATCCAGGAAACTGGAGGTCAATAGCACTTGGAGGTTGCGGTTAGACAAGAAGAACCGGTTGGCTGGGGACAGGCTACTGACGTCAATGACATGATGAAGAACTGGTGTGGCTTGTTGGATTTTTCTTGAGGGAAGAGATGAGAGGCTTCCCTTAGCACACAACACCACATATGGCCTTAATCGCTCTCCACTGCTCCTATTGGTCCGTTCTCCCTAACCTACTTCATATAAAAGCAGCGCCTTTCACTTCCTATCAATACAGCTACTGCTCTCTGCATTCCAAGCCATTCAACTGCTCTGAAGATGGAGGCGATACGTTCCTCTGAAACGTCGGCCAAAACGAAGACTACACGGCGCCTAAACCCAGAAGACGACTTTCTTCAACTATAATCTTAATGTTCATTGCTGTGAGAACCTCATATCTCAGTACAATTATGATTACAATTCATCCTGTAAAGAAGGTAAATGCATGGACTTCATAGCTTTAAAACTGATGCTAACAAAATGGAACTCACACATCAGCCTGCATGTACCTACCTCCAACACTATTCCTATAATTGTTGTACATATCCTTGATCTTTCGATACCGAAAGGCAAGTTTCCGCATCCAGTCCACACCCCCTCGAACTCCAGTAGCCAGACACAAATTACCATTACTAGCAGCCGCATGGAAGCCATCAGATCCAAAATTGTAAGAACTGAGGTCTTGGCCATTGTCATCTGATGCAACATCATCAATATGCACTTGGTCACAATCCTGAAAGAAGTGTATCCAATGCTATATACTACAATGCAAAATTCAATATTGTGACTGACAATCATGACATTTTCTGTGTGACAAGATTGCAACTAATGATACTTTTTTATTATAAAATACTCTCATATAGGCAGTTAGGTGCTGGCTTCTCACCGCAGATCTTCAGATTCAATTCCGGGCAATATTCACGTTGGGCAAGGCAGATTTGCAGCTGTCATTTCCTATAAGTTTCTCCTGTTTCTGCCTGCTAATCATCAGTTCACCATTGCTGAGACATTTGATAGCTCTGACCTGTCAGAACATTATCACATCCTCAGTCTTCAAACTGGAGGCTTTATCTCTGAAGTGGCACTTGTCCAGTTATAGACTAAGGAAGCTAACTTTTATTTATTTACTGTGCATTTAGTAATGCTATCAGTGGCTCAGATCATTCGAGGTTAGTAAATGAATATGAAAGACTGTGGCAAAAACTGGTGCATGATCTAAGCATTTACCTTGAGGAATTTATGAAAAACACAAACCAATGTCAGTATAGCTAGTCTCCAGGCCAATACCTGAACCTGAGACCTACCAACACACACACAAAGGAGTGGCACCCAATCAACTGAATAGTGAGTATAGTCAGAAACTTTCACAGACCTTCCTACACAATTAATACGAGGGCTGAAACTTTAATAGTGGCAACACTGCTGTAGAGACGCCATGCAACGGAACCAAATAATGTCACTTATACCACACGTTAGTTACATACCTACCTTACCTCAGAGCAAATAGACTCTCCCTTCCCACATCATGTGCATGTGCAGTGACGAGAAGAACAGAGCCTCGTGTCAGCTGGCGGTCTAATGTAGTGTTGTCATGATGTTTCCGAAACAGTAACAACGGAGCTGAATAAAGGATGAATGTGCCAGAGGCAGTACAGCACGACAGTGTCATCAAGGTCTTCAAGAGGCTTGCGGGAAATCTGCATTGCCTTACAGAACAGTGGCAAGGTGGGTAAAAGCCTTCAATGAGGGACGCCAAAATGTGGCAGACATGCGTCGGCCAGGTCATCCTAGTGTCAGTGAAGAAGTGTATGCTTTTTTCCGCATTACTGGAAAGTGATCGACATCATACGATTCGTGAGCTGGCCCGAGAGACAGGATTAGCGCATACGACTGTGCTTCACATTCTGAAGGAACACCTGGGAATGAGAAAAATTGCATCACGATGGGTTCCGCTTCATTTGCCGGAAATGCAGAAATGGCTACAATACAATGTTGCTCATAACCACTTGGAAGGAAACGAACAAATAGCGTCATTACGGGTCACCACGAAAATCAAAAGTTTGTCAGAACCCCAGCAAAGTGAAAGTTATGGTGATTCTCATGTACGACTGTGACGGTGTTATCCTAACACACACCGTTCCCCGACAGCAGACCGTCAATGTGCAGTATTACTGTTCATTTTTGGAAAACAACCTGCGACCAGCTTTGAGAAAGAAGCGGCGACACTTTCTGCAGAACCCAACCATCATTTTGCAGAACAATGCTTGGCTGCATGCAGCGCAAGCCGCGGCTGATTTGTTCCATCACGAGGGCTGGGAAGTGCTGTACCATCCACCATACTCCCCGGACTTAAGCCCTTGTGACTTCGACTTGATTCCTAAGATGAAGGAACCACTTTGTGGCAATCGCTTCAGAACTGTTCCAGAGATTCTTCAGGCAGTAGACCGCTCCATTCAAACTATCAACATAACAGGCGCTGCTAAAGGTATCCCTACAACTTCCATGTCACTGGCAATGGGTTGTACACAATGCTGGTGACTACACTGAAGGACAGTAAAACTTCAAAACATGCATCCATTTTGTATCAGTTGTAAATAAATAGTTGCCACTATTAAAGTTCCAACCCTTTTAAAATCATTTCTCAGACAAAAACTTGTTCAGTAGGACATTCCAGTAGTGAAAATGAACAATAAAACTGTGTAGAATGTTGGTAGCGCTTTTCAGTTCTTGGATTATGTGCACAGTTTTCTCAGACATCCTGTCCTTACAACATTTCAGAGGCCTCTATCTACCTAACTATGAGCTGTCACACCCTGGAAGATCATGATCTGTGTTGGGAATCGTGGACTCAGAGCGACGCAATAACACTTGTGTTGCCAGTAAACACTTCCCCACTGTGACGTAACAGTAGATGTGTTGCTGGAGGCAACATTTCCCACTTGTCCGATATATATATATATATAAAGAAAGCAGTCTTCTGGGATTTGGCACCGTGTATATGTGGTGTTAACCGACGTTTCGGAGGAGCGTATCGCCCCCATCTTCAGGGTTGAAGAA